TCCCGCTCCCGTTCTGCTTGTCTGTATGTCTCCTCTCTCTCTCTCTCTCGTCTCTCTCTCTCTCTCTCTCTTCTGCTCTCTCTCTTCTCTTTCTCTCTTCTTCTCTCTCTCTCTCTCTATCGCTCCCTCTCTGTCTGTATGTTCTTGTCGCTCTCTTTCTATCTTTCTCACACCCTCATTATCTCTTTCGTTCCTTAACACCCTCATTATCTCTTTTCGTTCGCTTAACACTCTCTTGCACTCTCTCTTTGTCGTCTTTCTCCCGCGATTCTCTCCCCCTTTTCTTTTAGTCTCTCTAGTAGTCGGTCAACATACCATACAAAAGCACAGCCGAATTACGAACAAAAATAGTAATAAAATTTCGTTCGTAAATAATTCTCCTATCGTCATAGCAGGGGAGCCGCACTGTATATTTTCTTGGCCGCGAGCTGAACATGGGATGGGGTATAATGAAGAGTAGGAACGGCGTTAACATTTCTCAATATACTAGCACGTAGATAAACAAACCCAGGACAGTAAAAATTCGTTGATGCTCAATTCAATTTCAATTTTTAAATTACTTGAGTAAAGCCATTTCTTTTAACGTGCTCAAGAAAAATAGGACGCCTGTATTTGAAGACATGTACCAATTTTGTTTCATTAATTACTGATGGCATTTATAGACATTAACATTCAAATTACATTACTCTACTACCACTAACTTACTTTTCAAAAATTTACTTTTAGGGCCTACATTTATTAAACTGTAATTTAGGGGGCGGCCCCTTTTTCCTCCCCCAAGACTACGGCCATGAAAGCAACTGAGTGTTATATTCTCTAACGGGGAAAGCCCGCCTCTCAAACTCCCAGGTTTCCATGTCTGCATATTTCATATAGGACACAAACAGTCGCGTACGCAGACAGAACAACATCAAAACGGGCTGTTGATTTTTCACGTTATGTGCGTGCGCGCATAAGCACGGGAATGTATGCGCGCGCGTGCATGTGAGCGTTCGTGTGCGCGTTAACCTGTGTGTTGTGTGTGTATACGTGTACGTGTGCGTGTGCGTGTGCGAGTGTGCGTGTGCGTGCGCGTGTGCGTGTGCGTGTGTGCGTGTGTTCTTTCTTTCGGGCGTGTGCGCGCGTCTGCATGAGTGTTTTATCTCCGGCCTATAATAATTCGAGTGTACTGTATAGAATGAAGCCATTTTTAGCACGTGATTTTCTCGAGCTCATATATATATATATATTCTCGAGCTCGTGATATTGCGAGAGGAGTTCCACAGGGGACATTACTGGGACCATTACTATTCTGCATATACATCAACAATAAACCAAACGTACTTGAAAAATGTGAACAGACCCAGTATGCTGACGATACATTATATTATATAGATATGTATATACATATCTATAGATTGTATATAGATAGTACATAGATTGTATTATATATGTCACAAATTCTGATCCAAAGAAAGCTGTTAATACACTGCAAACGAATATGAAAGAAAATTAAACAGGTGTCCGATTACCATAACTTGCAAATATAGCCAGACAAAACAGAATTCATGCTTTTTTGCCCCAACAGTGATCATTAAACCTGTGGATACGACCAAAATTGAATAAGAATTAAGTAACAACTCGATACCGCAATTAACACAAGAGAAATTTCTAGGTGTGAAAATAGATCAGCAGTTAACATGGAATGACCATACTGACTTGGCGTGGGACGAAAGTTTTAGCCGAAAAACGGCCAACCACCTGGTAGTAATCCACCGTACTATTAATTTTAATGTCGTGTGAGATAACCTGAGCAAGAAGAGGAAATAGACTAGACTAGGACGGGAAGGACCTCCCCTCATTCTTTTCACTTTCTTTCTTTCTCTCTGGCCCTCTCTCGCAATCTTTATCTTCCTACTTCAGGCGCAATATAGCGCTATCACTCCTGTCTTACCGTGTAAAAATATGCGTATTATATCCATATATCAACACTTTGTGCATCACAGGTGCGAAAAACTTTTGCCATAAAATGGCTAGCCTTCTTGTGGTAATCCACTGAAGTACCTATGTCATGGATGATACAATTCGCGAGAGGATGTAGAGGAAAAGGGGAGAGACAAAGGAAAAGAAAGGAGAGAGAAAGGATGGAGTGGAAAAGGAGCATACACTTGCAAAATCACACTCACATACACACGTACTTACACAGACACATCATGAGCGTGTAGCCAACTCATTTTGAGTGGGAAGGGGTGCAGAGCTACACACAGTTTGTGTTCTAGGCAGCTGACTATGGGTTATTTGCCATTGGCTCTTGACCATGTACCTAGACACTTTAAGGGGAAGGGTGACTGCTCCCTTGCCCCCCCTCTTCTTGTTAGCTACAAACCTGATTGAAGCATTTGAGACAGTATTACAACAATTTCTCAAAAGTACATGTGCAGTTTACAACATAAAGTTTTCCTTTTATTTCTCATTAAGATTAAGCAAGGAATGAGTAGCTGCCATAATTCAATTTGACTGAAATTAATGTTAAAAGCAGCATTCTGGTTCTGTATTCAGTGTAGACATATTTAGAGTTATTTTTAAGCTACATTGATACATAGCATATCGTTAAAAAGCTCCTAATTGAGTGATAACATAGACACTACTATATTTCTTCTGATACTATGACTTTTAGCAGCTAAGCAGAAAAACTTTCGTGAATTTCATCAATCATTGCTACTGCCCCGTGCCTTTCTATACTGCTTGGCCTGTTCAGTGACACGTGCAGCCACACGTTCTAGCTGCAGCTCCTTCGAATGCAATTTTGCTTGTTGTTGGACATCACCTAACGTCTTAGAGTAAACTTCGTGCAATTCATCCATTCTTTTTATCCTGTACCTTGTTGTCATTTGTATGGCAATATAATGTGCCACTACACCACCCAAAATAAATATGCAGATTCCTATGACAATGACAAAGTTTGGTAACCTAGGTAATCCTTTTATACCGTAATATGACTTATTTCTATAAAATTTGTCTTCTGACTTTTTACGATTCTCCCAAAAGGATGCATCATGAAATTTATCAGAGTTTCCACCAAAATCATTCACACCAGAGTGTCGGTGGTAGTAAAATGGTCCTTGCGTAGTTGCGCTGCTATAGTTGTCACTGGGACGGTCTGCAGTTGATCCACTGTACAGCCCCAAATCGTATAGACGACGGGATGATTGGTCACTCAACACCGTGTAAGCTTCGTTAATTTCGATAAACTTTGCATGTGTCGACGAATCACCCATGTTCTTGTCCGGATGCACCCTTTTTGAAAGCGAAATAAATGCTTCTCTAATTTGCGCAGGAGTAGCAGTTCTTGAAACGCCCAACACATCGTAATGAGTGTTTGCTCTCAGAGATGCTCGTGAGATGGTCCTATTCATAATAATGCTAGTCTGCACTGTCGGTTGACTGTGCCTCACAAAAGCCCTGTAACCACACGTAGTCGTAAGCATGGTTCAATTGGTTGGTATTGAAACTACCACACAAACAGAAATATATACGACGGAAGCATCATAAACATCGTAGCAAACGGAAGCGTTTAGTCACTAAGTAGGGCCTACTAGAACTTGCAAGAAGATCAGGTATAATCATAATACTATGTTTTGACTGTTTTTAAGTGGGCGCTGCCATGACAGTAAGTTCCGGTTCCGGTAAGCTACACATGCGCACCATGCGCAAGACACTGCGCCGCTTCATAATAAATTATTGCAAATAAAAACGAATTGTATTTACTACCAAAGTCGTAATGTTTATTATACTTCATGTATCCTCTGTCGACTTCTGCGTAAATGTCGTTCAAACGCTCCGGCCCCCTTTGTTGTTAAGCGGTAAGATCGGCCGAAAAATAGTTCAATTACCATAGGGCAATAGCAGGGGAGGGGGCAGGGGAGCAGCGGGATGCTGCGCCCGAAGTGAGATTTTCGGATTAAATTTTGCCATACACGTCTCCTTCAGGCATGCACGCGTCTTTTTACGCAGGAAAGATCGGCCGTAAAGTCTTGGGTGGCTAATGCGACGAGCGACGCGTGCGTCATCATTGCTCATCTACTTTAGCATAGGGGCAAAAGAATGGCGGGATGCTGCGCGACCGAAGCGAAATTTTCCTATCGGATTTTGTTCAACCACGCCCACCGATGATTGATAGATCCTAAATGACACATATTTGCTGTCGGCTTGCAACATACGTTGCTTTACAGGACCGTAGCTAACGGGAAGGGGACAGAAGAGACAGTCTTCCAGGCCTTCGAAACAACAGCGGCGCACTGCCACGACAAAGTGCAGGTGAGTTCGTTGTTTGTAGTTTTAATGATATAATATGTAATATTACATACATATGTAAATAAATAAATAAATATATATGTATACATGTATATGTATATATATATATATATATATATTATAAGAATAATATATCAGTAAAGAAGATACAAGTCGATATTCGGATAGTTTACATACGGTTCCCCCCAAGCTGCACTGTAATATAATTATTGCACTCATTCGTCAAGCTGCTGATGTATCGTGCAGTGAGGAAGTAATTTGTCATTTTTCGCTGGTTCTACAGACCAAACCAGTTTTAAATGTGTGTTCATCATTATGTCAAGTAGAACATTTTTTATGCGCATTTCGTTTCAATGTTTATACAGGGAACGTTCCATACAGGCTATAGTAATCTGTAGTGGCGATACTTCGAATAATATCAAGAGCTAATAATACATAGCTGTATTATTATTATATTTATATGACAATACTAAATGTATAATTATCTCTTGATAATATGTATGTGATAGGTATATGGATGGTGGTAGCCGTGGTGGTGTAGTATATAGTAGTTGGTGGTGCATGTGTACGTATATAGGTATCAGACGGATTACCCAAATATGGCAAACGCTTGAAAGCATTTGCCCGTCATTTTATGGCAATAGCATTTAATTTAAATCTGACTCTGCGTATTAATTCAAATACTATAGCCGTTTCGCTTTCACGGATGATCGTTTTGGTTGAACCACTCCCTCGCTCATGTCCGATACAAGCCGGGTAACCAGTAACGCACAGGTTGTTGTATACATCGACAGGGGCTTTTATAGGATGTTCACTTTGTGGGGCATAATATAGTTCCTCTCCGCTTTTGTTCGATAGCGACGACGGTTGAAAATTACCGAGAATAAAGCCTAAGCACGGATAAACAGGCACACGCACCGCATTCATGCTGTATATTGTGGGCCGCCCCAGTGACAGGTGTAAAAATTTCCAGTTTATGTATTTGGATTTAGTTTATAATCGCGGAGATGTAATGGGCCGGTGATCCGTAGTGGAACTAATAGCCAGCATTCGTGAAGATAGCAATGGCTGCATCGTTGCAGATAAGATATATAGTACTTGTGATGCTAGCTGCTGCTGGTTTCGTGCGAAAAACGTATTTAAAGTGTGGGTGCATTTTATATATGCATGCAGGCATGCCTATATTCGGTGTCCTCTTTTCTCGTATAAACGGTAGATGCACGTACTCAAGATCGAGCTAATAATACATGTATTATTAGCTCTGTGTGTAATCTTAGTGACATATTTGGTGATTTAAAGTTCATGTAAGAGTTGGGAGCATAATGGCACATACACGTTAATACTGCTGTCACAGCAAATTAAAGGAGAACAAATAGCCTTTGATATAAGGCAATGATTTCGTTCCGTCCGAGTCCCTGAACGCCACAATGCTTCACCCAGTATATGACACACTAAAAACCATCTATCTATCTATCTATCTATCTATCTAACTAACTAACTAACTAACTAACTAACTAACTAACTAACTAACTAACTAACTAACTAACTAACTAACTAACATTGGTTATTGATGGATTATTTCATATGTTAGTTGCTAAACAGTTGAAAATGACGACACGTTTCGCTTCGTGGTATATCATTACGAGGGGGTTATTCGCAACGGACGTGTCGCCTTCCTTTAATGAGCCACTGGAAGCATAGACCCGATAACAGACTCTCGGGCTCGTCTTAATAATAAAATGAAAGTGTATCAACTCAAATTGTATCCATTTACAACCAAATGATAGATCTCTATCTTTTCTGCGAGTTTATACACAGTGGCGTGCGTGCAGTGGGACTGTGTGTCGCAGAGGTGCATTTAAACGGCATTTACTTGGAATTATTAGGCGTTAACCAGTTCACAAACGAAGAATCCTGTAGTAAATAAAACAATTTTTGTTAAGTCACCATCATTATATCATTGAAACAGCCCAAGTGAATGTGGACCCGATACTCTGGTGAATATAAGAGTTATATGTACTGCGACCACATCCATGCACGCAGCACTTATAGCATCTGCGCACGTACGTGAAGCTGCGATTAATGGTTATTTACAGGGACATGAGCGACGGCGATTGCTGCCGGAGACTGCTAGAGATGCTGGCATGTCTCGCTGTGTTGTTCTTCCTATCACCGCTTCACCTAGCATCTGGTGTGTACATTTATGCCATTTTTTGTGCATCCGGATGTTATCCTATTCGACAAATGAAATGTTAGCTGACTGTAGTTTCATCCACTTATGTCATTAACCTGACATAGATCCCTAGATCATGGAGATGTATGGAGAGCCTAGCGAGTATAATATTTATATGCTCTAGATTATTCTGATATAGGATTGAGACCTCTGATACGAGTGCAAACATACGTATAAACAATGTCACATAAATCATCATAATAATGCAACATTAACTATAATCATATAACATAAAAAATGATAATTTAGCGTAAATAATAACAATGTGATTCATGAATACCATAAGTCTCCGACATAATTATAATGCGTTCACGTTTTTGTTTGAAATATAGGCGACTTGCGCCTCATTGAATACGCTACCATTTTCCAAAACGACGGTGTAGAATTATTACACCGATTAACCGTAAACGATGATCTAACCGCGCTACAGGCGGGCGGCCACGTATAAATAAATATATTTTAAAAATCTATAAGCGTTTTGCTGATGAAAAACACCATGCTGCTCTCTCTGTCACCCGGTGAACTTCTAATACTGGGTCGTGATCGATGAACAGATCGATAACAATGTATGACGCTCATTCTCATCTACTCGATAATCTATTGACTTCGCGTGTTTTCGACGTAATTGCGTGCCGTAGAGGGTAAAGCGCGGACAGGTGAAGGTTGCCGTGGGTGAAGGACATAGATTAAGACCCGTTATTCTATCACATCCGTTAAGACCCGTTATTTGATCACAGGTATGTGGTGCAGCAGCAGCAGTATTGAGGTGCGAGACAGCGCGTTCGATTTCAACGTCGGCGGTCTCTTTCCGCTCCGGCGTGGCAACCAGACTGGCACGCATGGAAGTACTGCATGCGATGTCGTCAGTACTGCGGGCGTGCAGCAGATGATGGCGGCCGTCTATGCTCTCAGGAGAGTGCGGGAGAAGCACGGGCTGAGCATTGGTAAGAAGGCGTAGTCATGGTTAATATTTTTTTCCTATAGGGATTTGATAACGCTATAAGACCCGAGTACATCCAAACACCAGCTATATGGGTGAATGCGTTTTCACTTTTAACACTGATTATATAATTATTAATGCATAATGACGAGCGTTGCATTTTCCTTTTAATAAACAATCCGTTTGCTGCCCACATTTTTTACAATTATGCCTACACAACGACACCGGGAGACCGTTGTCAGAATGCCCCACATATTATAGGATTATGAATTTACTACTATACTGGATCAACATCTTAACACTAAACCTCGCGCGAGTATCATCCTGATAATGCCCCCTGCCAAACTGTCATCACTATTACCCCGAACAGACTGCAAAATTTGATCCTACATCAAACTAGACTGGGTCAGGCTCGGGCCAGACGCGCGTCAAATCGCAGCACCGACACGACAAATACGAGCAAATACGGACACAACCGGGCTCAACCGGGGTAAGTTCGCACGGATTGACTGCGCATGCTATATTATCAGGAGTGAATAGTCTGATATAAAAATAGAATAATCTATTATTATTCACTCCTGATATTATATATCGCAATAATGGTTTCATGCTAAGTCGCGGCGAGCAGTGGTCGCAGCTAATTCATATTCTAAACGTGAAGCGAGAAATCTAGCTGTCACTACCGTACAACCCTGGCGCAGATCACGAATAATAATAAAATAATAATAATTGCCTAGGAGAGACCAAAACGGGCATTACACAGAATATATATATATATATATATATATATATTAATTTATTTATAATCCATTATATAAACCATGCTATTAAGTAAAGTTCAAGCATATTTCCCGTGTAAACATCATCCTCGGCAAAAACCGGAACTTGCGTGCATGCGCGAGCGAGAAATGCGCGTAAGCCGCCTATACCCACTGATTCTCACCCGCAAAGTCGCAGGCAAACAGACAGCGCGTTTAGATAATGTCCGATATTTGCTGGTCCAATATTTTGCCTCACAGCTACACCGGGGTTGTTGTCCCTACTCTATAGTTTCCCCGCCTAGACTGCTACCAGCGATTTCTTGGGCCTCGAGGCTTCGCAGGCACATCGCACACGGCGTTTCCGGCTTAAAACATTACACGCGAGGCGGAGCGTCACAGTTGCTCAGCGAAGTAGCGCCGTAAGTGTCGGGGAAGTGCGTGCACGACGGCAGCGGGGCGGGGACGCCCGTAAACGCTCGGTGTCATCGCGCCGTGCATGCTCTGTGGCAGCGATGCGGGAAGCAGTGACGACCACGCACGCATACTCATCATCTCAACTCTGGTGTTGAGATGGTTAGAAGCGGCTCCGTATTTGCCTCCGTAATGCGCCTGTAGTTCGGTGGCAAAGCGATCTCACCTTGGAAGCGACGGACGTGCACTGGTACGCACGCGCGTACGTACCCAACCATCCACACCGCGTCGGACGCCCGAAAATCGAAAATGTTGATAGTAGTGTCTATCGTATGTTTAACAAAGCTCCGATTTTGTAGTCGCATGAGCAACTCATCTGCAGAGAAAACCGAGATTTAAAATTGCACGCTGTTTCTTTTGTATTGTCCATGTTTTCACATTCGCGCACACCAGCATAGGAATAACGACACATGGTTCTGTTCTGCTAAGAAGGCGCATGCTCACCATGATCTAACTAGGACGTGTTTACGAATTCTGTGCCGTATTTAGTCAATGTAAATGATGTGCGACAATTGTCACGCGGTGGGTTAAACGGACTGTGACCTTAATGACTTGATGGACGTAAGAAAACAGATAGGTGCCATTGCTCCGAGAGCATAGTACGTGATCGCCCTTACTTTAGAAACCCCCGATATCGGTTATTACCCGAATGACGTCACATTTATTAAAAACCACAATGTTTAAGAAAATTGTCCGTTAATTATTTCGGATCTCCGCGCCCAAGAACGAACGGAAATTGCTCTTCGATTAAAACGTGAAAAATCGCGCACGCAAAAAAAATTGATACAACTTATACACTAATTAACACATGACAGCCACGGAACGGCAGCAACACCAGCAACTCGTCCATATACCAATCAAGTGAGTAACCGAATTCCGGAGGTTTCTCTCACCTCGGAGCGCTCTACGGCTACGGTTACGCCACCCCTTTCCGCTAAACAGTTAAACGTCCTAGCTATATAGTAGTTGCCCCGCAGCAGTCGGCGGTTCCACATGAGCCGTTAGCTTGATTACTGCTTGTTTACAGGATGCTCGACTCGAGCAAGCAGCCAGGCGTTACACACCGTACGGCGCGGGCCAAACGGATGCATGCTGCAGCAGATCTAGTCGACTGATCGCTGTCCACGTGTGTCGTCGTGTGCGCGCATGACGGGCCTACGTTCAAGTGTGGACTGACAACGCCTATATTCCACAGGTATCGTAGAATTGTCGGGTTCTAGAACATTATTTTATATCGCGTTTAAGTAAACATTTGATATTATATTGGGTAAGTGGTTGTATTAGGTAACGCATTAAGGCACCTTCATGCAGTTATATGTTTATATGGATATATTTGCCTAACGTAAGAATCGAAGTATTGCATAACGTAATAGTAGCAAACGTACAATATTAGTATATAATATATATAATTGCCTAACGTAAGAATCGAAGTATTGCATAACGTAATAGTAGCAAACGTAATATATTAGTATATAATATATATATATCTCCTACATAAATGGCCGGATCTGTCTGTCTGTCTGTCTGTCTGTCCGTATATCTTCTCAAGACCCGTAAGAGATGACCCCCAACACCATATATATTCTGAATCAGCATGACGCCACGACCATTTTAGGCCAACAAAAAATGCAAAAAAAGTGAAAAAGAGATTTCCCTTTTTTTGGAACTCGACTTTTTTGTAGGTAAATATTATTTTTGGCTACCACAGCCAAGACAGCTGCGCCAACTCTTCGCCATCATGCTCACGACCTGCAGCCTGGCAGAGCCGCTCAAGCTGTGGGAAGCTCACAAGGAAAGCACGGCAGAGGACATCCATCACCGAGTGCAGTGCCAAAATCTTGAACAAGAAGTGACCTACACAGATGCCATGTACAACGAGGCGCTGCTGCAGCTGGACAACCAAGTTCAAGCAATGGGCGGCGAAGGAGTCCACACCTTCGGCCTGCCACAGCCAGAGCACAACAACAACGCACTCGCATATGAATACCTGCAAGAGACCAACTATGACACAGACCAAATGGAAACATACGTCAATGACAACGAGATGCGCCTGGTGGAGGATCAGCAGCGTGCCTACGACGCCATCTTCGCAAGCATTGAGGAGAAATGTAGCGGCCTCTTCTTCCTCGACGCTCCTGGCAGAACTGGCAAGACCTTCGTTACCAACCTTTTTCTGGCCAAAGACAAAGTGCAGGTGAGTTCGTTGTTTGTAGTTTTAATGATATAATATGTAATATTACATACATATGTAAATAAATAAATAAATATATATGTATACATGTATATGTATATATATATATATATATATATTATAAGAATAATATATCAGTAAAGAAGATACAAGTCGATATTCGGATAGTTTACATACGGTTCCCCCCAAGCTGCACTGTAATATAATTATTGCACTCATTCGTCAAGCTGCTGATGTATCGTGCAGTGAGGAAGTAATTTGTCATTTTTCGCTGGTTCTACAGACCAAACCAGTTTTAAATGTGTGTTCATCATTATGTCAAGTAGAACATTTTTTATGCGCATTTCGTTTCAATGTTTATACAGGGAACGTTCCATACAGGCTATAGTAATCTGTAGTGGCGATACTTCGAATAATATCAAGAGCTAATAATACATAGCTGTATTATTATTATATTTATATGACAATACTAAATGTATAATTATCTCTTGATAATATGTATGTGATAGGTATATGGATGGTGGTAGCCGTGGTGGTGTAGTATATAGTAGTTGGTGGTGCATGTGTACGTATATAGGTATCAGACGGATTACCCAAATATGGCAAACGCTTGAAAGCATTTGCCCGTCATTTTATGGCAATAGCATTTAATTTAAATCTGACTCTGCGTATTAATTCAAATACTATAGCCGTTTCGCTTTCACGGATGATCGTTTTGGTTGAACCACTCCCTCGCTCATGTCCGATACAAGCCGGGTAACCAGTAACGCACAGGTTGTTGTATACATCGACAGGGGCTTTTATAGGATGTTCACTTTGTGGGGCATAATATAGTTCCTCTCCGCTTTTGTTCGATAGCGACGACGGTTGAAAATTACCGAGAATAAAGCCTAAGCACGGATAAACAGGCACACGCACCGCATTCATGCTGTATATTGTGGGCCGCCCCAGTGACAGGTGTAAAAATTTCCAGTTTATGTATTTGGATTTAGTTTATAATCGCGGAGATGTAATGGGCCGGTGATCCGTAGTGGAACTAATAGCCAGCATTCGTGAAGATAGCAATGGCTGCATCGTTGCAGATAAGATATATAGTACTTGTGATGCTAGCTGCTGCTGGTTTCGTGCGAAAAACGTATTTAAAGTGTGGGTGCATTTTATATATGCATGCAGGCATGCCTATATTCGGTGTCCTCTTTTCTCGTATAAACGGTAGATGCACGTACTCAAGATCGAGCTAATAATACATGTATTATTAGCTCTGTGTGTAATCTTAGTGACATATTTGGTGATTTAAAGTTCATGTAAGAGTTGGGAGCATAATGGCACATACACGTTAATACTGCTGTCACAGCAAATTAAAGGAGAACAAATAGCCTTTGATATAAGGCAATGATTTCGTTCCGTCCGAGTCCCTGAACGCCACAATGCTTCACCCAGTATATGACACACTAAAAACCATCTATCTATCTATCTATCTATCTATCTAACTAACTAACTAACTAACTAACTAACTAACTAACTAACTAACTAACTAACTAACTAACTAACTAACTAACATTGGTTATTGATGGATTATTTCATATGTTAGTTGCTAAACAGTTGAAAATGACGACACGTTTCGCTTCGTGGTATATCATTACGAGGGGGTTATTCGCAACGGACGTGTCGCCTTCCTTTAATGAGCCACTGGAAGCATAGACCCGATAACAGACTCTCGGGCTCGTCTTAATAATAAAATGAAAGTGTATCAACTCAAATTGTATCCATTTACAACCAAATGATAGATCTCTATCTTTTCTGCGAGTTTATACACAGTGGCGTGCGTGCAGTGGGACTGTGTGTCGCAGAGGTGCATTTAAACGGCATTTACTTGGAATTATTAGGCGTTAACCAGTTCACAAACGAAGAATCCTGTAGTAAATAAAACAATTTTTGTTAAGTCACCATCATTATATCATTGAAACAGCCCAAGTGAATGTGGACCCGATACTCTGGTGAATATAAGAGTTATATGTACTGCGACCACATCCATGCACGCAGCACTTATAGCATCTGCGCACGTACGTGAAGCTGCGATTAATGGTTATTTACAGGGACATGAGCGACGGCGATTGCTGCCGGAGACTGCTAGAGATGCTGGCATGTCTCGCTGTGTTGTTCTTCCTATCACCGCTTCACCTAGCATCTGGTGTGTACATTTATGCCATTTTTTGTGCATCCGGATGTTATCCTATTCGACAAATGAAATGTTAGCTGACTGTAGTTTCATCCACTTATGTCATTAACCTGACATAGATCCCTAGATCATGGAGATGTATGGAGAGCCTAGCGAGTATAATATTTATATGCTCTAGATTATTCTGATATAGGATTGAGACCTCTGATACGAGTGCAAACATACGTATAAACAATGTCACATAAATCATCATAATAATGCAACATTAACTATAATCATATAACATAAAAAATGATAATTTAGCGTAAATAATAACAATGTGATTCATGAATACCATAAGTCTCCGACATAATTATAATGCGTTCACGTTTTTGTTTGAAATATAGGCGACTTGCGCCTCATTGAATACGCTACCATTTTCCAAAACGACGGTGTAGAATTATTACACCGATTAACCGTAAACGATGATCTAACCGCGCTACAGGCGGGCGGCCACGTATAAATAAATATATTTTAAAAATCTATAAGCGTTTTGCTGATGAAAAACACCATGCTGCTCTCTCTGTCACCCGGTGAACTTCTAATACTGGGTCGTGATCGATGAACAGATCGATAACAATGTATGACGCTCATTCTCATCTACTCGATAATCTATTGACTTCGCGTGTTTTCGACGTAATTGCGTGCCGTAGAGGGTAAAGCGCGGACAGGTGAAGGTTGCCGTGGGTGAAGGACATAGATTAAGACCCGTTATTCTATCACATCCGTTAAGACCCGTTATTTGATCACAGGTATGTGGTGCAGCAGCAGCAGTATTGAGGTGCGAGACAGCGCGTTCGATTTCAACGTCGGCGGTCTCTTTCCGCTCCGGCGTGGCAACCAGACTGGCACGCATGGAAGTACTGCATGCGATGTCGTCAGTACTGCGGGCGTGCAGCAGATGATGGCGGCCGTCTATGCTCTCAGGAGAGTGCGGGAGAAGCACGGGCTGAGCATTGGTAAGAAGGCGTAGTCATGGTTAATATTTTTTTCCTATAGGGATTTGATAACGCTATAAGACCCGAGTACATCCAAACACCAGCTATATGGGTGAATGCGTTTTCACTTTTAACACTGATTATATAATTATTAATGCATAATGACGAGCGTTGCATTTTCCTTTTAATAAACAATCCGTTTGCTGCCCACATTTTTTACAATTATGCCTACACAACGACACCGGGAGACCGTTGTCAGAATGCCCCACATATTATAGGATTATGAATTTACTACTATACTGGATCAACATCTTAACACTAAACCTCGCGCGAGTATCATCCTGATAATGCCCCCTGCCAAACTGTCATCACTATTACCCCGAACAGACTGCAAAATTTGATCCTACATCAAACTAGACTGGGTCAGGCTCGGGCCAGACGCGCGTCAAATCGCAGCACCGACACGACAAATACGAGCAAATACGGACACAACCGGGCTCAACCGGGGTAAGTTCGCACGGATTGACTGCGCATGCTATATTATCAGGAGTGAATAGTCTGATATAAAAATAGAATAATCTATTATTATTCACTCCTGATATTATATATCGCAATAATGGTTTCATGCTAAGTCGCGGCGAGCAGTGGTCGCAGCTAATTCATATTCTAAACGTGAAGCGAGAAATCTAGCTGTCACTACCGTACAACCCTGGCGCAGATCACGAATAATAATAAAATAATAATAATTGCCTAGGAGAGACCAAAACGGGCATTACACAGAATATATATATATATATATATATATATATTAAGCTGCGAGGCTACGCCTACGATAACGACGCTACATGGCGAAGTCCCGTTGATCGACGGTACAGCTTAGCTGAGACGGCCGCAGAGAAATCTTGTTGCTTGTTTGCCATAGCTTGGGCTATAGCTAGCTATGGGATGTAACCTAGCTTGGGTAAAGCCAGGTAGTTTAGCTTTTTAGCCGAAAGGCACTGAGGGTGGTCACAGCCAGAGTTTTTTTGCGCCCTCGGTGGTTCTTTTACGTCCCCATTGGCCTTTGGCCCATTGGTCCCAAGATCACAAATATAAGCACAGCTAATACACCCAGTGCTCAAGCATACGTATATACGTACGGCGGGCTGAGTGCCGTACGCCCAAACAATTTGCAGAGGTTGAGACGGAGTCGGCAACGCTCTGATCATCTATAATGGCTATATGTAAGGCAGCGGAAGATGGCAAGGCCATCGCTAATACCTTATTACATCCGGCGATGCCACCCACTCGCCATCAGCAATGAGTGAGTTCATCAGAGAAAGTCCCCAGCGATTATATAGATAGATCAATCGCCACACAATTTATGAACATGTATTGATGCGCAAATCAGTTACAGACTAGTTCGCATCTGCGGCACTACGGTATAAAAATGCGACTTTTTACAGCTTGCGTAAGGCTGAAACTCAGTAACGAATTGGAATGATAATCGCATTTGCCGAGCTAATTGCGTGCCTGAATGAGTTTGACGTTTTACTTTCTAATCTACGCTAATTATGCGCAATTTTAATGAAAAATGAGTTCGTAATTACACTCTTAGACTTGTCAAATCGTGCAGTGACGAGACCTCGGTTATATCCGCATTAACGGCATAATTAGCAATATTTGCCTATATGTATATATAATTAGCAACGTTGATGCACAATGATTGCATGAATACACTGGTTAAAATTCTTAATTACCCTGTAGTACTCTAGCAGTGGCTGACTGTTGGAGTCTGTTCGGGGAAGCGAGAACGTCAGTCTAGAGCGAGCGGAGATAGGAAATTGAATCATCTTGGAGTTGTTCATCTCGAAATAATACATAATATGTAATCTGGTGCTCGGAATTTTGCCGTTATATTTATCAGAAGGATATTGTGTTCACACGTATCAAGCTGGCAGTATAGCTAACAGACAATAGTTGATGAGAGATGGAGTTATTAGCTAGCAATGAAAGAGTTAGCATGACCACACACGGACATCTATTCGACCGAGTCTAGATTACGACGATTTCATTTTATCGAGCTGGAAGCGTGTTAAGATGAGTTAGTTTTTATTGGGTGAATATCGCACCAACGTGCGCAATGGTTGCAATGAAAAATAGAGTTTTTATTTGAGTGAATGCCGAATAGGAAAACTCGATGTAAACACCGAGTCATTTATTTATCCGAGAGACGCATGGAAGTGCTTTGGGGTCCACTTGCTATTCGAATATGTGGGGGGGCGGATCATACATGGTGGGCAGTAGATGATGAAGTGAGCCGTTATCAAGGTTCACTGACATGACATAACACTGTAATATTAAAACAATCATATAATACATAACAACCACGCGATTCATAATATCCCCTCATCGTAATAGCGTGTATACCTATCACATAGATCATCGTATACGCGTTACTGCATGTATAGCATTCACTGACCGCAAACGAGTCGCAGGCCGACGTTGGCAACGTACCAAGCCGCCGACGATATGACATCGTGACTATTTTACATCGCCGTAAGTGGTGCCGTATCTTATCTAATCGGCGTGTCATGGCGCAGTGCGCTCGCGCAGGTATAGGTAATGAATGACGTAACAAGCACGAGTGAATAATTATGTTGCCCGAGATCGCAATCGATTTGTAGCCGGCTGGGTTTTACGTTTTAAGTACCGTTTTAATCGGACTAGGATTTCAGATACGCGACAAAAAATTGGCAGTACGCTCGTGGGCTACGGGGGCGTAGAACTACTAGTACATTAACACACACACGCACGGTGTTTTGTCATGGGAATGGCCGCGATGCTGAACAGGCGTTGTGCTACAGGTCCGTAACATTCGCCCCTCTTCATTGGTGTATCGGTGTCAGCGATATACTAGCCATACCAGACGCGAATGAAACCTTGTCACCGGTCATTATTTTGATGACATTTATGTTATGTTATTTAAGCTTGCATTATATATATATATATTTATATTATATATATGTGTGTGTGTGTGCGTGCGAGCGCGCGCGTACGTGTGCGTGCGCGCGCGTACGTGCATGCGTGCGTGTGTGCGTAGGCGTGCGCAAAATACAAGGCAAGACAGGCAGATGGCGACGGACAGGCGGACATGAAGAGGAGAGAGAGCGGGAGAGAGAGAGAGAGAGAGAGAGAGAGAGAGAGAGAGAGACGCGCACAGGCATACAGATGGACAGACCACAAACTTTACACTTTACTTTGTACCTATCTATATGTGCACATTGCACATTGTTATACCGCTGTAAAATGGCTGGGATAGCCAAATAGATATACTTATGTCGACGATGACATCTCAAATAAAACAACTCAACTCCTATTTATAGATGAAAATAAATATGTCGTAGACAGCACAATTCGCGTATTGTAGATACATCAATCCAAGCATGCCTTTTCCTCGCTATTGCATTACGCATCTAATAATAAATTGCGCTTTAAAATTGACCGACTGGATAGCAACCTAGAAATTCCCTGCAAACTTTCATCAATAGTGAGCACACGATGTTGTAATCACGAGAGTACAACACACTCACTGAAGTAATTAAAGTTGCCCGATATGTTGCCTCCATCGATCATGGACATGCACTATACGCTTATAATCTCGGCATATTATGAAATCATATGAAATTATCGACCACACAAGTGCTGACACGCTTGCCGGTACACTGACCTTATAACATAAAGCTGCGCTATGACATCGCCATGAAGGGTCATCGAAGCTTCCTGTCTCCGTAATTCATAGCAATCAAAACTGGTTTACAAGCGACGAAGGGAAGGGGGGCATTGTAACTACTGCTACCATATTTTTACAATGACGCGGTGTGGGAGTAATCCTGCGAAAAATAGATGCTCCGCTGGGCATATATAGTGATGCATTCGAGGAATGAAAATTGAGCAAACGATTGTATTTGTATTTGTTCGTGATAATCAGAACAACTATGAACACAGGATTTGCAATCAAATGTATTTGGGCTGCAACGCTGGTGGCAACCGTCTACCTTCTACCAAAACCAAAACAAAAATGTGTATTTATTATGTGTAATTATATATATACCTATATTTGAATACAAGAATGGGCATAAATTTACGTATATTAATACGTCAGTTGAGCTTTAACAGACTCTTACCCTTACTCCCGGTAAGTACAAAATGCTTTTTTTTGCGTCATTGGTATGACTGATATGATTGTAACGACAAGAAAACTGGTAGACGTCACAACATTGTGAGGAAAGAGAGCGAGGCAGATGAAGACAGATGTACTGGTGTGTGTGTGTGTGTGTGTGTATGTGTGTGTGTGTGTGTGTGTGTGTGTGTGTGTGTGTGGTTGTGTGTGTAGGGTGTGGCGTGGTCGGCGTGCGGTGTTTGTGTTGTGTTTGTGTTGTGTTTGTGTTTGTGTTTGGTGTTTGTGTTTGTGTTTTGTGTTGTGTTTGGTTTGTGTGCCGACGCGCGCTGGTGTGTGTATGTGTGTGTTTGTGTGTGTGTGTGTGTGTGGCGCGTGCGCGGTGGCAGCGTGTTTTGTGTTGTGTGTGTGTGTGTGTGTGTGTGTGTGTTTGTGTTATGTTGTGTGTGTGTGTGTGTGTGTGTGTGTGCGTGTGCGTGTGCGTGTGTGCGCGTGCGTGCGCGTGCGCGCGTGCTGCGTGCGGTGTGGCTGGCGCGTGGGCGTGGCGTGTGTTTGTGTTTGTGTTTGTGGTTTGTGTTTGTGTGCGCCGCGCGCTGGTGTGTGTGGCATGTGGGTGTGTGTGTGTGGGGGGGGTGCGTGTGCGTGTGGCGTGTGCGTGTGGCGTGTGCGTGTGCGTGGTGCCGTAGTGGCGTGTGTGTGTCGTGGTGCGTGTGCGTGTGCGCGTGCGCGTGCGCGTGCGTGCGTGTGTTTGTGTTTGTGTTTGTGTTTGTGTTTGTGTTTGTGTTTGTGTTTGTGTTTGTGGTTGCGCGCGCGCTGTGTATGTGCATGTGTGTGTGTGTGTGTGTGTGTGTGTGTGTGTGTGTGTGTGTGTGTGTGTGTGTGTGTGTGTGTTTGTGTTGTATATGTGCTTGTTTGTGCGGGAGTGTGCGTGTGTGTATGAGTGTGCGCGTGTACGCGTGTATAATGTGTGTATGTATACATTCATTGTGACTGTACTAGTACATTCGCACGCAAAGCAATATCCAGTAATTTGTAGCCTATATATGTAGAGCCAAAACCAACGTTCGACTTTTGCTAACGATTCACAATCGTGACCATTTAAACCCGTTTCCTGAAATTGCATGTTAACATTACTGTACATACGTTCTCAATTTCATTCGGCGCAATCACTCATGATCATAAATGTAAATGCTAGGCTGCACTACAAGTTGGCCAAGGCACTTTGTAGGTGATTCATGCGCGTGGCATTATATGTTGTACTGTAAGCGACAGTAATGATGCCCGTATAAGTAACGAGGGCGGCTATGAAAAGTAGGTCGGCTCTAAACATTCATTAGTAAGGGCAACAACGAAACTTACCAAGAAAAATAGGGACGTGACCAGTAAAAACAACTTGCAAATTAGTTCGCTCGGTTTAGTGTCAACGTCCTTAATTACTGGTAATATAATTATAGTAGACTAGAGCAATTGTAACCCCCCCCCGCATTGTTTCAGGCCTGCACGCTGTTGATGCTTGCGGGGGTTCAGGCCATCAACTCGCTGGTCTGTTGAGACTCATGCAGCAGTATGACGACGCAACGCAATGCCGATCTCACGCGACACCACACAACACGACCCGCCTCTTTGGTGAGTCTATACGTAATGTCAACCGCATCGACGGTTCTAAGAGTTTATAGGAACGCAAATGCGAAAAAAAAGCATCAATTATACGATTTAACACGCGTGAACTTACGATGCCATTAGAGCTAATTCAATCGAACCTTGAATTCTATGAAATTGGTTCGATGAATCATGAATGGAGTAATTAAAAAGTGGATAAAATTCGACGTTGCTTACCTCAACCACAGTGAATCATTGTTGAGTATTCGTTAATTGAGTTCTCGTCACATGGTTACTGCACGTGGTCCGTTATTCTAGGCGTGCTAAGCAGCTACGTTGATGACGTAACGAGTGACCTGCTCGATACACTTAGACTGCCCAACGTCGCCTATACAATGACAGGCGCTGCGGCGAGTAATGCTATCAACATGTCGGTAGATGACATGCAGTTCAGCTTCGACAAAGTGCAGGTGAGTTCGTTGTTTGTAGTTTTAATGATATAATATGTAATATTACATACATATGTAAATAAATAAATAAATATATATGTATACATGTATATGTATATATATATATATATATATTTAGTGAGCTATAAGTGATACCATGTTATAATTATGTGTGCATAATATGACTGTTAGGAAATCAACGTGTGGGTTAACCAATTCCGGATTCCTTTCAAGTAAATTTGATAAAACCTTCGTCATAACGTTAGAAGTGTTTACTGAAATTATTACGATACCGTTATTTATTCGTATTTGTAAGTTCCGGTCCTTTAATTGCTACAACGATTCAAACAAATCTATCATGTCATTTATTCAGTCCATTAAACCGAAGCAAACAGTAAAATAAAATCGCGGCATTGCTTTGACATCTATATGAGCATTAATATGTGATCCGTGTTCATTTTCCTTACCTAACTGCTCTTTGTTCAGGCGATCGTGCAGCTACTGAAGAGCCTGAAAGTTCGACAGATCACTGCTGTCTTCGTATCGGCAGATCCACTGCGGGCCGCCACCTACCGGATGTTTCGGACACTAGCCGAGAGCGCCGGCCTGTGCGTGCGCGGCGTCTACGCTTTCAGCGACGACCCGCAAACCGACGAGCTCGCGAGTTTTTTCGAAACGCTGACGACAGACGGCGCTGCTCAGCAGGCTGTGCTGCTGTTCGTGAACGGCGCCGAGGCCACGCAGCTGGAGGCGGCGGCGCGGCGGAGTGACGCGCATGCGCTCGCCGCCGTCACGTGGATCGCGCTCGATCGTCTGCCGAGCGTCGCGCGCCTTCCCGCCAGCGCCATCGTCATCGTCGGCGACCCGGGACGACCGCGCCCTCTAGCGGACGACTTCCGGCGGTTCTTCGTCGATCGGCTGCGCGACCAGATGCCGACGAGCGACGTCGTCCGGGAGTACGTGCGGGAAGCGTACGGGTGCCGGACATCCGGCGACGGCGCCGACGCCATGCACTGCAACGCGGTGACGGAGGGAGATATGCGAGACGCATTCCGCGAGGAGGACTATGCGGGCGAGGCGTACTTGTCAACGCTAAAGCTAGCCTGGCTTCTTGCTCGGGACATCGACAGCAACAGTAACAACAACAACAACAACAACAACAACAACAACAACAACAACAACATCAACAACACCAGAAGCAGCAGCAGCAGCACCACCACCACCACCACCAGCAGCAGCACCACCACCACCACCACCACCACTACCAGCAGCAGCAGCAGCACCACCACCACCACCACCAGCAGCAGCAGCAGCAGCTCGTGCGGCGGGAAAAGCGCAGCAGACTGTGAGATGGACGGCGGCCGTCGGGAACAGCTGCAGCGCCTCCTGGCGGAGGTCAGCGACGTGACCGTGCTGAGCTGGATGAACGAGGCAAACACGCGACACACGAACGAGCTGCAACTGCATGCATTCAGGAATGGCATGATGCAATCGGTATAAAGCGACTATGAGTACAATATAGTGTAAAACATATATATATATACAACACCGGCTTGTAGAGGACATTGTATAAAGGCTATTTATAGGACCCGTGAAGGCAACCGCATGACTACTATTATCACATAGTTATTACCAGTCATCCTACCACTACACAATGTTACTTACATAATGTTACTACTAAATAATGTTCATAGGTCGACTATGAGTACAATATTTTGTATACCACACACACACACACACACACACACACACACACACACACACACACACACACACACACACACACACACACACACACACACACACACACACTACACACACACTACACACACTACACACACACACAACACGACACACACACACACACACATATATATATATATATACACAGATATATATATATATATATTCTGTATATGTGTGTGTGTGTGTGTGTGGTGTGTGTGTGTGTGCGTGCGTGCGTGCGTGCGTGCGTGCGTGCGTGCGTGCGTGCGTGCGCGCGCGCGTGTATATAATCAGGAATGAATAAAAATAAATTAGTTTATATTCACTACTGCTATAATATATGCTATAAACGATAATGGGTGATGCAGATGACATGCAAGATATAATGATTTCCAGCCGATTCAACGATCAATTCATATCGATCAAACTATATAATATTAATATCGTTGCAAAACCCAACGTCTACGATTTGCTTTCCAGATTGGAGTCTACAACATTACATCGCAGAGGCTGACGCTCGCAGAGTCCTCCCAGTTCCTCACGCCACTCCTGACTAGCGCATCCTCTAACGTCAGCTGCATCGCAGGAAACCACGAAACGTCGGCCACCGTCGGCAAGCTACAGCTCATGCGCCGCTACTTCACCGCGGTCGACCTCTGGTGGGCGAATCTGATACTAGTCTGCGCGTGCGCGCTCGGCGTCGTCGCCGCGCTCTGGATCCTCGTCTGGATCGTGTGTAAGATCTGCGATGGCACGCTACGCGGTCTGAAGGGAAACCACGGCCTGACGATCGCCCTGTTGGTCTCCATCGCACTGCTCTACCTCACCGCGCTGTCGTTCGCCGTCAGCCCGACAGATGGCGCCGCCGCGTGGTGTCGCCTGCGCGCCTTCCTGCTGCCCGTCGCGCACGCCGCCTGCTACGCGATCGTCTGCGTGCAGTCGATGCAGATTCGCGCCATCGCCTCGCTGGGACTCGGCGGGGCGCTGTCGTTCGCCAACCAGTGGCTCACCCTGGTGTTCGTCGCCGGCGTGCAGGTGGCGCTGTCGACGCAGAGCGTTGTGCTGGGCGTCGGCGTGTTGCGACCGCCGGAGGGCGCCAGCGTGGCGGCGGCGGCATGCGGCGGCGCGCGGGTGCCCGCGGCGGCGTTTCTCGCGTCGCTCGCCTACGTCGGCTTCCTGCTGCTCGTCACCCTCCTGTACGCGCTCGTCGTCAAGGTGATGCTGCGCGACCTGAAGGAGGCGCGCTGGTTGCTAGTAGCAACCGTCGGCAACGTCGTCGTCTGGGCCGGCTGGACGCCGTGCTACTACATGCTGCACGCGCGCTACGGCGACCTCATCGTCTGCGTGGCGACGATACTCACGGCGACGACGACGCTGGCGGCCATCTTTGCTCCCAAGGTCGCCATCTTGTATCGTCTGCGCAGCGCGCGCAGCGGCGGCGGCAAGCAGGCGGCGAGCTCGCTAGCGATGCTCACGAAGAACTTCGACGCGTCGTCGGCGGCGCAGGGCGTCGGTGGCGCCCCCTGCTCGCTGAACAACAATTTTGACGCGCTGTACGCGGCGACGAACGGCGGCAGGCAGTACAACGTGCTCTCGCAGCCGCCTTACGAGTCGCCCGTCGACAGTCTCTCCCGCCAGGCGCCGCCACTGCCGCGCCGCAACCACGAGAAGCGCACGAATAGGGGGCGCTGGAGTCACGACGACGCCGACAACCACGCGGTGGGCGTCTGCAACGAGTATCTGCGCGGGGGCGGCGGCAGCTTGACTCGCTTTCACAGCGTGCTGTCGCTATCCGGAGAGACAGATCTCGGCAAGAAGCGCAAGGTGTCCAGCTTTCCGCAATCCATCATTTACATACCGGGCACGAATGACGTAATCCCGCTGTCGCCCGAGCTAAATATGGGGCTCACCGAAAGCTTCTCGTAGTTGCCATGGCAACCGTAATCTCGAAAGGGTTTCCTTGACACCCGCTTGAGAAGACTCGAGAGCGTAATCCACGAGAAGGGCACCGAGGATGTATTTTTGTGATACGTAATTGGAAATAAGTAATTAAATATTGATTCTATATTAATTATGCGCGCGTATATAATTGTCTCGGCCGCGCCTATAAAATTCAAGCGTCCATAAAGGAACGCAAAATGCACCTTTTTATCAATGTACAAAAACGAGATGGAAACGCGTGAATTGCACAGATTTGTGGTTTTGCGTTCTCGTGAGGTTCAAACACTTTTTTATTCTACATAAATACTAGAAAATATCGGTGCTTCTTAGCACCGTGCGTGCGTTCGTGCATCCGCGTGGGCGTGCGTCCGTGCGCGCGTACACACGCGTACACGTGAGCGCGCATTTATGTGATAACTGCATGTTACTGCTTAAAATATGAAATAAAAATGCGTCGCCGTATCCTACGGCTAATTATAGACGAATAAAATAAATTAATACTCAATAGTGAATTGCATCGGGGTCTTTTTTGCGGTGAAATTCATAGGTGTCTTAAAAATACGCTTATATGTTCGAATATACTTAAATGCAATTAAAAATGCATGGGCATTAAGGCGTCATAATTGTCGCCATTTCACACAGCAGTCATACCACGCCATTACTTACCACCGATTTCTTTTCACGCGTGTCTTACCCTATATATCCCGCCTCATGCTAAATATATAATGTTTTCATTGCGACTCGATTAGCACCGTAATGTTGCTGCACTGTAGATACACGGCGCGCTAGTTGTAAATATGCATACGCGCGATGCGATATCGACGCACTCTCGATAGCCGAGAGTTCATCTAATCAAGTAGCCATAAACCTTCATTGTGAGAGTAATACGCGGTTATAAATGGGATATTTTTACGACCGCCTATATATGGAAGCTATTATATCTAACGATTACAGATTTGCGCAAGAGTAGGTTTTTATGGATAATTGCATACCTAGCATAAATTCTGCTACAAGATTAACGACGACTCAAAAAAGTAAAACTTTAGAATAATCTTTATTGTCCTTTAATTACTTTTAGCTTACGAGCTATGAGCCTTGAAAACGCCCTAATAACGCTTGGCTTTGTACCTTGGGAAAGGGGAGGTGAAGTGATTATGCCTTCATATGAGGAGTGAAATGAGCGATAAAATAAACAAAGGCAATAATATTTCACGTTCGATATGATCGATCGTTTTGGATCGTTGTTTAGAATTGTTCACAAGAATGTGTGCGGCGTGAATAAACGTGTGCGCCAGTCCGTGTACGCGTGCGTGCGTGCGTGCGTGCGTGCGTGCGTGCGTGCGCGTGCGTGAGTGAGTGACTGTGCGCGTCGGTGCGCGTGCGTGCATGCGTGCGTGCGTGCGCGTGCGTGAGTGAGTGACTGTGCGCGTCGGTGCGCGTGTAAGAGTAACAGCGTTCTCGTAGTTGTTTTAATTACACATCTATTAGTTTTAACGAACACATCTATTAGTTTTAACGTACACATCTATTAGTTTTAACGTACACATGCATCTATTAGTTTTAACGTACACATCTATTAGTTTTAGCGAACACATCTATTAGTTTTAACGTACACATCTATTAGTTTTAGCGAACACATCTATTAGTTTTAGCGAACACATCTATTAGTTTTAACGTACACATCTATTAGTTTTAACGTACACATCTATTAGTTTTAACGTACACATCTATTAGTTTTAACGTACACATCTATTAGTTTTAACGTACACATCTATTAGTTTTAACGTACACATCTATTAGTTTTAACGTACACATCTATTAGTTTTAACGTACACATCTATTAGGCACAAATGTAGACGATTTCTTCGCCTCACTGATTAATGACAATGTCAACGAGAGACTTGTGATGCTAGTTACCACTCTATTTCCTTACTCTTGCAGCTAGCGCAGTCTGCTATTCAGTATGCTAGTATGTGCAGATCCCTCGATTCTTGCATGCAGAAATCCCCAATTATACTATGCAGATCTTCAGTTTTGAAGTAGTATGCAGTACCTACTCCAACGATTTTACAATGACGACATTTGCGTGACGAGAGTCGCGCAGCTCAAGGACACGGACTCTACTCGTCGCCAAGAATAGATTTAAGACTCCGTCGCAGAGGTTTTTGAAATCATCCTACCTCTCGAGTAGGACGTACGTAACGAGCGCAGCGTACGTACGTAGCGAGCAAAACTCCGTCGTGAGTGTGTGCGCGTGGTGTGTTGTCGATGGGAAATCGTACCGAAAAGACAGCGAGATGTAAGCGCATGTGCGGAAAGTGCTCTAGACATGGCGCGCGACTGTATTACTGCATTACGGAAAGTAGTTCATCAAGCCGTAGTCGATTAGCGGCTGGTTGGCAAGGTGTCAACGGTATCGCTAGTTTGCTCACCCGCAGTAATATTAGGCTCCGAGATCCACGCGCTCCCGTACCGAATTACGACAGCTTAAAATTCAAATTACGGCGAGATTCCATTTCGTTCGCGTAAAAAGGATAAATAAGGTTCGTATAAAGTTCCCGACACGATTTACACAGAAATCGAACATCTTAGGTTACACGGCAAAAAATGTGTGATTTCGCGAACTCGCTACAACAAACCGAATACACGAAATCCAACTAATTCAATATTATATGCGCTCTATAGTTGCTTACATGAATTAATTCAGTTTAGAAGTTACTATACCTCAGATATTTGACTGTTTGAGCTAAAAGCGTTAGACATTTATAAATAGCACAATTATTGGACATTTGCACAACAGTTGTTATAAATAAAAAGCAAACATTTGACACTTTCGCAATTATGCACAAATTATATCTTTATGTAAATGAATCAGGTTAACAAGGCAAGTAAAGATAGACAATATTACGGCATTGAAGTACTAGACCGATTCCCCGAAGCTCTTGCTGCCGTCAGATCAATTGACAACGACGTCCGGGTTCAGTCTAACACTGGAGCGCAAAACCGCGCCGTTACGACAAAATTCCGCGCCGCTAGCAAATTTGACCCCTAGGACGGAAGTAAAATCTCCGGGGTATCCCACTCACTGCGACACTCAGGCGAAAGACATTGCTGATGAAGTTATTAAACGATAGCAACACTTATGTTGTAAACACAGGGCAGGCATACTTTTACGAGCCAAAGCTGTAAATTATCGATTCTAGAAGCGTTACTTTGGAGGCGTCATTGGCTGTGCAGATATGATGATGCGTGTAGAATTTTATGACACTTATACTAACATAGCCAGCTCATATAAGCCGTGTACACATGCAGATAGCTGCACATAAATACCCTTCTGAGCTTACGTGCTGCTTGGAATACAATAGTAATTTAAAACTATTAAAATATGAATACACTATAATATATACACATTATTACAAACAAGGTGCACTATTAAAACTTATTTGGTTGCATCAGGCGCGCTGAACACGCTTCATTCACCATCGCACGCGTGCGCCAGGATTTCTTTTACGCGGGGGTAAATAATAGTGTATGTGTGTACGCAGACGTGGTCAGTGGGCTTGTTCTGCAGTTACAACCGCGCGCGTGTTCATTGCGTCCATTCGCGGACACGCCTAATACGCCAGCACCGCACGCTCCGCGCTGGTACACCTATAAAAAAGTCCAGAGATTGCGATAAATCCGCGCTTGTATTCAGTGTTTATAGGTTAGGTGATATATTATCGCGTATATTCAGTACAATGAGTTGAATACTGCTCAAATATTGATCCCCACGAACCACGTGTATGTATATATACGTGTATATAAATATATACAAGCGAATGATTATTCCATTCACTGTTCTTTCGAATAACGATCCATGGCGTTGCGTACACAGAAAATTCTACCCGACGAACTATTTCGTCATAAAAACGTCGAATTTAGCGTCCCTCGCGGCTGACCCTGTGTGTATGCGCACCAGGTATATAGAGGAACGGCGCAAGTGTAGTCTAGATATACCTACTCTGATGTATGCATGCCACGCGAGCACTCTGCTACACCACGCTACCAGCATATACGTATCAGGAGCAAGTAATGAGGCGGTAATCTTAATATTATAATGATATCAAGAGCTCACAAACCTACAGTGTATGTGTTCTTGATAATAGCATGCCCATCATGTACTCCTGAAATGAAGCGATAAAATTACTCAAAATTAGAAATTTCCTCACGCAGCAGTTCTTTAAACAAGCTCATCGCTGAGAACATCAGGAGTGTTTAATAATACATTATCTATATTATATAATATATCTATTATTATACACCCCTGATAACGTGATAGTGATGGGGTCAGTTGCTTTCGCTAGGAAATCAAACTAATCGGCACAATGGCCATGCTGCACGTACCAGAGAACCTTGCGTCTTCGTTGACACAACAAATCGGTGCCGTGTCAACACAATCACTGCCGCAAAGGGCGCTTGATTTGTCTCGTAGACGTAATCTATTAGAGTGATAAGGCACAGGTGGCCAATAACCATCACGTTACATCATCGCGCTATCTACATTATCTTTACGAATTTACAAAAATCTTGCCTACTGGTGTTCATAGAAACATTGAAGCGCTCGTCCGTGCTACTGCTACATCTAACTACATCCAAAAAGGGGGGGGGGCGGGGTTTGCGATCTTCTGTATCAAAACTTCGTAGTCGTAGGGATAATATCACATACAACCAAGAGCTGTCTACTCTGATTCAAAGCGAATTTGGCCTCTTGGTATTATGTTTTGATATGATATGAATGAACCGATGTAGACTATACGTGATACATGTGCTTTTTAGCAGTTATCAAGAACGCATTAGCATAAATTTTGAGTTTACGAACTCGCGTAGTTATATGTAGGCATTGAAGAAAGGCAGAATGAACACATCACCACGTTACTGATGCACGCACTTGATAGCAGCATATCGTAGTTTTTGCGCGGGATAGTGCGCTACAGTAAACGTTTGTTTAATTAGGTGCCAATTAATTAAGTCATAACTGGTCCCTCGTCGGATGTGTTGCTGCTAATGTACAATCGTATTAGATAAATGGAATCATCCTGCTCGTTGTCGCAAAGAAAATGCTAGCATTTCGCCAACAATAGCGATGAAATGTATGGCAACTGAGAGGGATTTGATAGGCACTTGGAACGCATTAGGGATGTGACATTTGTGAAATTCACATCTACCCCCGCTATAAGAGCGGCTACGACAGAGTTAGCCAACTTGCTCAATTACTCGACACGAGCCAATTTAGTGAAGATATCTCGGTAACGAAATGTTCGCATAGTTGAAGCAGACATGGATGTCGCAGTCCGTTATAAGGAAGGTGAGAAGTGGCCTGCATATACTGGCACATAGTTACAACCTGTTGGAAGCTCTACCATGGGATCTGCTGGCGATTAGGTTTGACACTGTTGCTACGACTCACTATATACACGTGTTTCACTTACTCTCTCTCTCTCTCTCTCTCTCTCTCTCTCTCTCTCACTCTCATTCTCTCTCTTTCTCATCCACACTAGCGCTCACACAATTATTTGGTGATTCAACAATTCACTCTCTCCTCTTCCTCCTCATCCTCCTCCTCCCCTTTTGTTTCTTCTTCTTCTTCTTCTTCTTCTTCTTCTTCTTCTTCTTCTTCATCATCTTCTCCATCCTACTTGTCCTCTCTTCGCATGTCAGTGTGCGCATGCGTGCTTGTGCGTTTGCGCCGCTAAAGGAATATCTGTGTGATTGCTTGATAAACCACGTCGATCATATCAAATGTATAATAAGAAAATCGTATAATATAATTCTCTCTCTCGTTTCACTACCAAATACAGTGCGCCAATGATACGATGCTCTAAAACTCGAAATTCACATACGAGATAAAAACCCCTACAGCATCATTATCACTGCTGCTTCGATTAAATTATAAGGCGATTTATTATCCTAATAACAGCTAAGAAGATCACAAAACGCTGACAGCCGGCGGCGGTCACAACGTCACCGTCATACTCAAGTCATGATCTGTCTCTCATCACTGTCCGATGACGTAATTGTCCGACGCGGTGACGTCACGCACCAACGCGCTGACGTAACAATCCGACGACGTGACGTCACCGCCCGACGCGTCGCCGTAGGAGGCGCTGACGTCACATCGGGGGTCACGGCGGTATGTCGCCGTGCCGCTTGTGCACCTTGATGTGTTTCGACAGGTGGTCGGAGCGCGAGAAGCGCTTCTCGCACAGCGTGCACTTGTACGGCTTGATGCCCGAGTGCGAGCGCCGGTGGCGCGCCAGCTCGTCGGAGCGACTGAAGCGCCACTCGCACGCCGGCCACGTGCAGATGAAAGGCTTCTCGCCCGTGTGTCGCCGCACGTGCGCCTGCGGAGCGACGGAAGAATAGAGTGAACATCTCAGTGTGGATGTGAACACACACACACACACACACACTGGGGGGGGGGGATAGCAACAGATATGCCGTTGCTGTTCTTAGTCCATCACTAACATTATAGAAGAACAGAAAGAAATTTCCACGGAAGGCGACAGTGAACATTTCGGTGCGTGGTGCGCACACACACGGGGGGGGGGGTAGCAACAAATATGTCGTTGTTGTTCTTAGTCGAAACAGCTAAATTTATAGCTGAATGGCTAATGATAAGAACGAAGTGCAAGGGATCTGCGTCCCGCAGGGGCGGTCCTAGCATTCCCTTCATACGTGTATAGCTGTGTTGTTTAGTTAACAGTATTTGTATATTCCCCATTTAAAAAGTGCATCTATGGTATCAATAGTCCATAATAAAAAAAAAATTATTATGGATTCTTGATGGTATAGAGACTGAATAAAAGCAAATATGTTTTTGTTTACTCCTTAAGATATAGTCTCCCATTTCCAGATTATTGCACCTGCGTAAAGTTGCAGGTGATCTCTAAATCGTGAGCTTAATTACCACAGCGACGAACGTTGGCTCCGATATATCAGTTTATTTCAGACAGATGCGGGGACATAATTAGATCCGACGTGGTAGCAAACCACAGAGCCATAGAACCCACCCATGAAGGTCACAGGTATACTTGGGCCGTTTCAATATAATATAAAATCATAGTAAATAAACACGACTCGTATTAACTACCAAATTCTTAATGTTTTATCTACTCTCTTTCGCCTTTAATTGGTAATAATTTCCTATAAATCCCGTTCAAATGCTTCGTTGCAACGCACAGCTTTAATTACCGTACGCACGTCACGATCACTATCTTTCCGTGAGTTTGTACACAGTGGCGTGTGTGCTGTGAGCTCGGGTGTTGAACGGCATTTACGTCGAATTATTTGTCGGTAAAGGGCACATAAACATTAGGACTTTGGTAGTAAACACAATTTGTGTTTATTTGAAAGTGATTTATTATTGAAACGGCTTAGGTGCCTGTGATGTAAGGCATCAAAAACAAGCAGTAACTTAGAGCCATGGAAAATATTTGAATTGGAAATCTTGGCCTTAGGACTAGGAGACGGGCCTAAGGCCTTGGCCTCAGGGGTTACACCACTGTCCAGGATATTTCCAGGAGTCTATCAATATTGATAGACTCCTGATATTACCATGCTACACTAGCCAGCTATAGATAAGTCATAAATAATTCACTGGTCTACTTTCTACTCAATGAGCTATAATTCACTGTCATTTTAGGTTGTCTGAGTGTCTTCCAGATCACGGTAAGTTAGCAGCACGGTTATCTTATTTGCAGTACGTTTATACGGTCGAACAGGTAGTTACATTGCACCGTTTGATATGGACAAGTCGATTAACAATAAAATATGTACACATTACCGTGTATACTAATAAAGAGAGTCGAGCGTACCTTGAGATGTGAGGATTTGTTGTACATCTTTCCACAACCGGGATATCCACAGTAGAATACCTTATCATTGGCAGGGAACGACATGTAGGCGGGCAAGAGTGCCTGAGTGACTCCCGGTGCATTGATGCAGCCCTTGTTGAGTAAACTGTAGCCATTGTTGTTCTTATCTAAGAATTCCGTAGCTGGAGCAAACGCAAAGGTTTATCAATGTTGAAAACGATCACCGAGGTGCATAATAGTAAACGATTCGTGGTGTGTTGTATAAATAAGCATCTTATATGATAGATCTACACACCTACGTGTATATATTAGATGCTAAATGAACAATTACCTATTCGATTTTTTTTAAAGTTGCGTAATGTAATGGAGCGTATCCCAATTGACAAAAATATACGCACCCAGTACGCTAGCCTGACGAGGCTGTGCGACTGATTGATTGTCTAGACAGGTCTTCTAACACTAGCAAGACCATTTCTTGGAGCTACCAGTACGCCATCACAACAATGACAACTGTGTTAGTTTTAGAGTTAGCTTACTGATATACCTATTCCTAACAATCACAGGCACTTGTAATGTCTCAATAAAAAAAAGAATGGTAAATAAACACGAAATGTATTTACTACCAAAGTTTTAATGTTTCTCTACTCTATTTCGCCTATTATTGCCGATAATTACCTGTAAATGCCGGTCAAATGCTCATCTGCAACACACATGTACACCGCACGCACGCCCTGTGCACAAACAACACGATCAAGAATAAATTAAACAAAATTTAAAAAAAACTTATTCATGTTGTTTGTGCACAGGGCGTGCGTGCGGTGTACTTGTTTGTTGCAGATGAGCATTTGACCGGCATTTACACGTAATTATTGGCAATAATAGGCGAAATAAAGTAGAGAAACATTAAGACTTTGGTAGTAAATACATTTGGTGTTTATTTACCATTATTATTTTTTATTGAGACGTTCCAAGTGCCTGTGCTAACAATACATGTCAATTTCACGCATAACCATATGTTTATCCTCCCGGGCCACCATACTACAGCTGTATCGTATAGTTCAAAGTAGTGTACAAGTTAAAAACAATAATTATAGCCCGGCAATCGATTAGGGTTAACCCGTTAGGATTAAAGTTTGGATTCGGGTTATGGTGAGGGTTATGGTTAGGATTTTGGGCTAATGATGGCCTTACTCTTATGTGAGGTTTAGGGTTAGAACTAGGGCTAGGTAATTAGGGTGAAGGTTACGTTTAGAGGTTAGGGGTTGAGTTAAGGTTAAGGCTACAGTTGATGTTAGGCTCAATCCTACGTTTACTTTTAGGGTTAGAGTTAGGAATAGCCCGGCTCTACGACTGTTTCACGTCGGTGGGATTTAGGACTTCTCGCCACGTAGTGAGAAGCGAGAAGGTAACTTATGGCTAGGTTAAGAAAAGGGTTAAGGTTGTGGCGCGGGTTAGTGTCAAGATCATGAATATACCTTGCCACGACGCAAGATCACAAACTTGCACGTGTCAAGATCATGAATATACCTTGCCACGACGCAAGATCACAAACTTGCACGTGTCAAGATCATGAATATACCTTGCCACGACGCAAGATCACAAACTAGCACGTGTCAAGATCACGAATATATATAGCTCAACTATAGCCCTTCGCTCCGCCATAGGACGCTGAGGACACCTCCGCCTCTAGTTCTAGAGCTAGAGTATATATACCTTGCCACGACGCCTGCTGGCGCTGCTGTCGCCAGCTGGACGGCTGCGGTCGGCTGCTCAGACTGTAGTTATGCATCATCGACGACATCGCCGCCGTCTCCACCCCAGCCGACAGCTCAGCGGCGCCCATGTGCGCCGCTTCTCCCGCAAGATGCTCCAGATGTGAGAGTCCCACACCGAGCACGACCAGGTCCGACGAGCTGCTGCCCGCTTCCAGCTCCATCTGGCGGCGACTCCACACGTCGACCTGCGCGGCCGAATCGACGGGGCAGCTAGGTGGCGCTGTCATCGGTGCGCCGCCCGTCAGCGAGTCGGCGAGGCCCTGCGAGAACAGGTAGTCGACGTAGAGTCGGTCGGCGACCGAGTCGTCGCCGCTCGACAGCGAGTCGGCGGGACTCCAGCCGCCAGCGCACCAAAGGGCGGCGGCGACGTCGCCGCGCTTGTCGCCGTCGTCGTCGTCGTCGTCGGCCGCCGCGTGGTTGTTGTTGAGCCGCTGCAGCGTGTAGCTCTCGCGCTCCAGGCTCGAGCAGCTCGGCAGAAATCCGAAGTCCTCGACGACGGTGCTCACCGCCAGGGGGCGCTTCGCGGCGTCGGCGACGACCGCGGAGGATGCGAGGGTTGACATGCCCGTCGTCGTCGTCGGGCGGCGGCGGCGTGCGCAAGTCACTCGCTGTCGTTTACTGCCGCCAGGTAGCAGTAGGCGCGGTGCATCGGCGTCGTGAGGCACTGGCTGAAAGACGAAGAATCGTTTGATGAATACGTGGTGACGCCATGACAAGAACCACAGCGGCATGAGCACATAGCACAGAGAGCTTATGTGTGTGTGTGTGTGTGTGTGTGTGTGTGTGTGGTGTGCGTGTGTGCAGTGTGTCGCGGTGTGGTGATCACGTAGGCGAATTCAACTGCATGGGAAGCGATGTGCGATGCGCTTCATGCTTGGGGGGAGCAGCGATAGTGCAGCAGTTCCTTTTGCCTGGGAATATCGAGGGGCTGGTGTGCGAGCATTGGCGGCTCTAGCAGCTGAGCACTAGAAGGCTGGCCTACACAATCATCTGATGGTGTCTCGACATCATGTGGATTTACTTGTTTATCTCGCAGCGGGCAGCGAGCGGAGAGGTGTCATCTTATAAACGCGTTTCTAGCGGAAATTCGATTTCTTTACGGAATGCGGTTCTTACGGAAATTCGCGCGTCGTTTACATGGGGTTCAGTATATATATATATATATATATATATATATATATATATATATATATATATACATATATATATATAGATTGATATATAATATATATATATGATATATATATTATTTAAACTACACAAAACGCAACTCAATTTCCCCGAAGTAATTCGTGCAACCGTATAAACATTTATAGTAATCAGGGAATAATGTATAACGTGTATTTAACGGAGGAAGTGTACGGATGGGACGACAGCATATGTTTTGCAAACACGTGCATTCTACTGAATTGCGTACGTCTTGCGTGGGTTTTAGTGAGCGCACGGGAGAA